GGACGCGGCTGGACGGACGGACGGACGGAGCGGCCGCCTGGCCTCTGCAGCGCTCGCCGGCCCCAACCAGGCTGCTCCCCGGCGCATTCCGGTGGGAGCTTTAAGCCCAGTTAGCCCGGCGGTTTCTGTTTCGATTCTCCGCTCCCGTCAGTTTCCAAACGTCAGGCGCAGGGCGGGGAGTGGCGGCCGGTCCGCGAGGGACGCCCTTTGGTCGGATCGGGCCAGGGCAGCGCTTTGGCCCGGGGCGCAGGGGGGCGTGGAAAAGGAAAGCGAACTCCCCCGGGGCCCAGGCCAGGGCGGCGGGCCGTGCTCTCCCCGCGGGACTCCGTCCTCCTTGCAGATTCCGCCTCTTCCCCGCAGCCGTCAGCGTCACCCGCTGTCAGCTACCATGTGGGGGGCTGTGAAAGCGCCTGACTCGGGACTTTCCAGCCTGTCAGTGAAGAGAAACCCATGCCAACAGGAAGGAGTTCGCCTTGGCTGGGGAATGCAGGCAGGTTCTGGGCCCCCCAGAGAGGTCAGACTGCAAGGGACAGGGGGAGAGAGGAAGTTTCCAGAACTGTAACCCCAGGGCCCCGGGATGAAGGGACGTCTGCACCTTATCTAGATAGAAACCCGAGGTCCTGCGGGTGCCCGAGAACGAACGTTGTCCACAGGGAATTTCTGGGTGGGTACGAAAAAGAGTGAGTCATGATAAAGTTAACTTCAGTCCCTCGTTTGCAGATTGCAGTATTTATTTTCTGCCTTGCCCGGGGCCTGGTGATAGACACAGAGGGACTTGAACCACCAACTCAGTTTAGGAGGAAGCCAAGATTGAAGGTTTCCTCTCCCAGCATGTGAATTCCCCATATTCTTTAATATACAACTTCCCTTTAATAAAACAAAACAAAATCCCCAGCAACTTATTTTTGACATAGCTGCCATTCTTTTCTTGGATTCAATACAGCAAGTTTTGGCTGAGGCAGCTAAGAACTTAATTAGCAACTAATGTACCAACTTGTAGTAAACATCAACATTTGTCTATGTCATGAAGGAAAAAAAAAAAAGACACCCACACTGAAAAATGGCAGCTTCGTTTTAGTGCAGAAGCCATATAAACAGGAGTCCTTCAGGTTGCCGCTCAGGCATTCTGCCACCCTGAGTGACTCCGGGTGGTAGTACATACGCTTCATAATGAGAGCCCCAGGGTCCAGAATTAGATGGAGGATGGAGGGGTCATTTAAGCTATGAAAAATGTGTTTAGGAAAATTAATTTGTTAGCAAGCTCATTCAGTGATGTTAGTCTAGGCCAGGGGAACCTGGCCATGCTTTTGCCTGTATAAAAGACATACAGTAGGATGTGGAGAAGAAGGTACCCTTGTGCACTGTTGGTGGGAATGCAGACTGCTGCAACTACTGTGGAAAACAGTGTAGAGTTTCCTCAAAAAATTAAAACCAGAGCTGCCTTTTGACTCAGTGATCTCACTTCTGGGAATATATCCAAAGAATACCGAAACACCAATCAGAAAAAAAAAATGTTTATGTTTATAGCAGCATTATTTACAATAGCCAAGATCTAGAAACAGCCCAAGTGCCCATCGACAGATGAGTGGTTAAAAAATCTGTGGTGCATCTACACAATGGAATATTACTTGGCTATAAAAAAGAAGGAACTCATACACCTTTGAGACAGCATGGATGGACCTGGAGAATAATAAGGTAAGTGAAATAGGTCAGTCAGAGAAAGTCAAATACCATATGATCTCAGTAATATGTTGAACATAAAGAACAAAATAAACTGATGAACAAAATGGAACTGGAAGCATAGAAACATGGGGCAGACCGGCCGGTGCCTGAGGGGGGTGACTGGATAAAGGTGAAGGGATTAAGAACATATATGCATACCCCATGGACATGAACAATAGTTTGGTGAAGGCCAAGGGAGGGAGCGGGCAGAGGTAGACAAAGTGGAGAGAAATCGGGGACACTTGCAATTATGTCATTTTTATTTATTGATTTTCAGAAAGAGAAAGGAGAGAGAGAGAAACATCGATTTTTTTGTTCTACTTATTTATGCATTCATAGGTTGATTCATGTGCCCAGACCAAGCAACCAACCCACAGCCTTGGAGTATGGGGATTGAAAGGTTCGGAGTGGGCTGGGGTCATGCACCTATGACATGAGGCCATAATGTATCAAAAGAGATTTTATTCCCACCACCTGGGTGCAGGTGGGCTGAGCCTGAGAAAGGCATCAACGAAGAGAGCAGGGAGTGAGAGGTTTTTATTAATTTTTGCCGGCTGCAAGCCGCTCTGCTAATGTGAGGGTTTGGTCTGTCCTTGGTTCCTCCCATGCCAGACGTCTTCTGGTTATCTGAGCTATGCCGTGTTCAAGGCGGCAAGCTTTCTGCAAGATATCTGCTAAACACAGTAAGTTTTTCTTTGCCCCGTTTCATTCTCTTTAACCCTTTCAGAGGTGACGCTCTAACCAACTGAGCTACCCAGCCAGGGCGGACTCTAACATAACTTTTTCATTTTATCTTTAGATTTTTTTAAAATTGATCTTTTAGAGAGAGTGGCAGGGAGAGGAGGAGAGAGAGAGAGAGAGAGAGAGAGAGAGAGAGCGAGAGAGAGAGAAACACAGAGAGAAAGAGAGAAACACAGAGAGAGAGAGAAAGAGAGAAACATCGATGTGAGAGAGAGTAATGAGCTACCTCCTGCATGCCTCCCCTGCTCCTTTCCCCGGCATGTGTCCAGACTAGGAATCAAGCTGGCAACATTTCAGGGCACAGGACGACACTCCACCAACTGAGCCACACCAGCCAGGGACCTACCATGATCTTCATTGCACCTCTTCTGGGGGAAGAATGTTAAAGAGACAAAGCCAAACCACAGCATCTCAAATGTATCTTTTCTCTTTATCTATATTTTTGCATCATTATTTACTTTATTTTTGGCCTTTTGTTTGGATACTTGTTAGTTTCTTCTAACAGCAATCATTTTCATCTTCCTTTTGTTTTCTAAATGTAAGTTTCTGTTTCCTTTCTCCTTTGAGGTGGAAAATCCTGCTGATCTCTTTTTCTTTTTCCTAGACCTGCCTGTTCTCTTTAAACTCAAAAGGCACATTTCAGTCTCCATCAGTTTAAAAAGCCTCCTTTTAGTATTTTGTTCTTTAAATAATATGTCAGGAATATACTAGATCATAGATTCCCACTGTTATCCAACTTTTCATTTGAGTTTTCTACAATTAAGAAATAGTAAAAGTCATAGCTGCCACTTTTTTGACAAGCCAGAGCTACAACTTAGTGGCCATCCATGGTAGGGATGCCTTTTCCAAAGAAAATGACAACAAATTTAATTTAATGAGGGAATCTTTTTAGAATTATTATCATTTTCCTTCGTTAGTTTACTAATTGTATCAGTAAAGAGCCTACTCTGTATAATTGCAAGTTAGCCTAGCAATATGGAGTTGTGGTGAAGCGTAGGCTCTGAGCTCAGGATGCCGGAATTCACATCTCAGCACTGACTATTAAACTGATAAGAACAGATACTACACTTGATCTTAGCCAAAAGGCCGAGAAGCGATAGCACTGACTATTAATTGCTGTGAGATCTTGAGAAAAATCACCTCAAATTTCTCAGTTGTAACATGAGAATGATACTAGCACCGTGTCATAAGGTTGTGAAATGGATAGACCGTAAGCACTTAGCATCAAGCCAGGAATATTATATTTCCTCTATAAGTGACTGCCAGCATTCTTACACAAACAATGGATAAGAGTTGGTACTATCCCTCAAAGAACATACAGTTTAATAACTAGCCATGTAATTAAGTTTCTAGACAGAATCCCTTTTTGCAAGAAACAGAAGTTGATATGCTGATTTAGCAGAAAAGTTTACCAAAAGATACTGCCGTGGCTTTATATCTCAAAAACATAAGTAGGCCCGAAATAGAAATTCTGACAATGTTTACCAGACCATGATACACATTTCTTAATTACTTCCTCCAATTCAGTAATAAAATCTGGTTTTAAAAGCTTTTCTATATGACAAACAGTTTTGTCACCTCCACCCCCACGCCCCCCAAAAATCAAGTATCAATGGAAAATTTTTCCCAAATATCCATTTTTCCAAATGCTTCCTCCACAGATTAAGTCTCTTCAAAAACAGTTACTTGCACATGCTTTTGTGAAAACAGTATCTTTACCTCTAAGGCGTTGCTTGGCCTCAAAGGCACTTCTTTGACTTAATTTAAAATAAGTGCTTAAGAGCAAACTACAGTAAAATGTAGTGCCATTGTCTTTGCCTTGAAACCCGGGTTGACGTTTAGCTGGTAGACAATTTGGAGTTAGCTCTCTCAACCTGTGTCCATCCGGATTGAGGGGGTGCCTGTTCTACTTCTGAGTACTCACCCTGTAGAATTAATTATATATTTTTATTTAACCTCTGAAACATTCTTACTGAAAAAGTTTTGGAGTAGGAGTAGGCGTGCTGTAGAATGAGTTATTAAAATCAAATATTGGGGTAAACTGAACCAAACTTTTGAATTGCTAAATTACAAAAGCTGGAACTAAAATTTTAAAAAATAGCAAAACACTATCAATTTATAATGTTTTTTATGATTAATGCACTAAATTATATCAATTACATTTAAAAATCTTTGTTCATCTTCATCTGATTCCTTAGTTTTTAATGTTTATTTGTATTTTAGGTTGTTGTTATAGTTGTACATGCAAAGATTGTCTAAATAAATAGACAAATATTTATTAAGGTTCATGTTCAAATATTTTTACTGGTAGGGATCAAGAACAAACTACTTGAAGACCACACTCTAGAGAACCTCCTAAACGCCAGAGATTGTGATGAGTGTGAAGAGCAAGGTTATGAAGAATCAAAGAGGAAGCTGTGTAGGTGAAAGGAGAACTCTGGAAAGAGACGGGTAATTCAGCATTTAATCT